CTCTCTCTTGATATCTCTCTATGTCCCCCCCTCCATCCATCTGTCCCCTCATCTATCCATCCATCCATCCATCCATCCATCCATCCATCCATCCGTCCATCTGGTCATCCATCCATCCATCCATCCATGCATGCATAAATTTGGGTCGAGCAGTATGTCTACAAATATGGGGAAAATGATACAGGAGCAAGACAATACAGATTCACCACTGTGAAGCATGTGGCCTCCCGAAATCATTGAACGTTTGGACACAAGGTGCTTGATAGACAACACATGGTGTCACCTATCAGATAGACACTAGCTGAGTGAGTGAGTAAGCGAGAGAGGGCATGGACAAGGGATAGAGGTGGAAAGGAAGTGTTACAGGGAATTGGTTAGAGAAGTACCATCTCCACTGCACATAAGAGCAAGAGCGACTGGTCCTGTCGGAGAATCGCGCCACAAGAAGATTGTGACAAAGCCAATGACCATAACGTAATAGAGTGGTCCTTTGAGAAGCTCGCTGCTCATGGCTCACCAGACAAACAAGAAACAAAGATACCAATTGTCATATCAAACATTCATGTGCTAATTCTCCAGTGCAACTCAAAGAATTCAAATGACATCCGCCACCCGCCCTACATCTCTTAGACACACACACACACACACACAATCAGTTTTATGTTTGTCAGTCTTTTTCCTGTTGTCTGTCCTCCCTCTTATTTTTTCTAAGTATTTTCTTTGTGTGCCCAACTGAGCACCCTTAAGTAGTGCCAAACAGTCGGTGGTTCCTCGTTTGGAGTGCCAACTGCACTCTTAGGGGGGCCGCTCTGTTCGGGATGTCTGTGTTGCCTATGGGTGATGACGGATGCTCGTCGGAGTGATTTCCTGGCTCAGTGGGTGGTGGGAACCAACAGTCTGCGGGATTCAACCGTGATGTGAGTAGGTCATGCGCTGCTTTGCTTCGTGTTGGATGTGTGGACATCCTCGTCTGCGCTCTGCTGCTGCCCTGCTGCCTGTCCCGCTTGCTTCGCATGTGGCTCTTTGCAGGTTGATGTGTTCGCTTTGCGGTGTGGCCGTGTTGTTGATGTTGCCTTGCGCTTCGCTGCTCCACTGCCTTGCTGCCCTTCCGCTGGCCGTGCCTTCCGTGTTTGCTGCTTGCGGGCCTTGTTGGTTGGTTGCCTTGTTGAGGGTGCCTTGTGCTTCGCTCCACGGTTGCCGAGTTGCTGGTCCGCTTGCCCTGTCGTCCCTTGCAGTATGGTTGCCTTGCTTGTGGAGCCTTGCGCTTCACGACACGGTTGCCGCGCTGCTTGTCCTGCGTGCCATGTCGTTCCTTCCAGTCGTTTTTGGCGTTGTGCAGCCGTGTTGCCTCTACTGTGTTGCCTGGTGCTCCACAGGGTTGCTGCCCGCTGCTATGATCCGCTTGGGGACAGTCTGCCCTCAACAAGGGTCAAAAGATTCATGACCCAAACCATCAAATACGGGGATTCCGCAGATTGTCGAGGGTTCAGCCTCCTGATGAGTAGGCGCAACTCCGACGAAACAATCTTGTCATCATCAGTTTTTTATTTATTTTTTTATTTTTTTCGGTCTTCGCTGTTTTTGGGTACTTGTATTTTTGCTTTGCATGCTTTCGGTGTTTGAGAGACGTCTGCCCTCCCGCCTCCCCCGTGCCTTCCACCCATTGTCTTTTGCTGCTTCCTGATGTCTCACGCTTGGGGTATTTTTCTGTAATTGCATTTTTTTTGTTTTTCTTTGTTTTTTTTTGCATTTATGTATGGTCTGCCCTCCCACCTCCCCCGTGCCCCCAGTCCTTGTGTCCTTCTGCAGTTTGTTGTTGTTGCCCCCTTGCGCTTTTTTTTTCCTTATTGTGCTTCCTTCCCCGTCTCGTGGTGTCTATTTGATTGTGTGTGTTCCAGTTCGCCCGCAAAGTGCAGTGGGAGCATAGATGGTCGTGTAGTCCAGCATAGTCACTCCCAACCTTACAGTATAGGTTCCGTCTGCACCATGCCTACAAGTTTTTGTTCCTGAGCTTGCTCGTGTAGTCCGGCATAGTCATTCCCCACCTCCGAGTACTGGATGCGTCTGCACCACGCCTACAAGTTTTCATTCTTAAGGTACGCCGATATATTATTTCGGATTTTGATTATGATGCGGTTTCCGTATCATACCATAATCATGTCTTATTATGCGGGTTACACACACACACACACACACACACACACACACACACACACACACACACACACACAAACATGGACGCACAAAATCAGTTTTATGTGTCTTTGTCTTTCTCTTGTTGTTTGTCCTTTCTCCTATTTTTCCTTTCTGTGTGGTTAAGTGAGCACCTTTAGGAGGTGCTAAACAGTCGGTGTTGGGGTGTTTGGAGCGCCTGTAACACTATTATGGGGGCCACTCTGTCCATGATGTCTGTGTGGTGCATATGGTCTATGAATGATGACAGACGTCCGTCGAAGTGACTCCCTGGCTCAGCAGGTGACGGGAACCTACAGTCTGTGGGGTTTACTCGTGATGCGACTAGGTAATGTGCCGCTTTGCTCCATGTTGGATGTGTAGACTGCCTTGTCTGCGGGGTCAAGGGGTTCATGACCCAAACCATCAATACGGGGATTCTGCAGATTGTCAAAGGTTCAGCCTCCTGATGAGTCAGTGCAACTCCAATGAAACAATCTATCATCATCAACTTTTATTGTTTTCGATGTTTGGGTTTGGTACTTGTACCATTTTTGCCTGTTGCTTGTTGTTTTCTCCCTGTCTTGTGTGCCGCATGTGTGCTTGGATGTTGTGCCCTCTCGCCTCCCCCATGCCCTCCATTCGATGTGCAATCAGACTCGCCTTCTTTTTCACTCCGCACTCATGCAAACAGATGGTGAGTCACACTGGCGCACAACGCCCACTCAAAGCTCAGAGATATGGAAGTCGAAACACAGTTCAGATACAAGCTTGCTTCAACAGGCTATGGCGCATCAGCGCCTGTACACCCCAACTCTCGTCTCTCTGTTCAACACCACTGTTCACACTCACTCCACTCCGGATCACCCTGGATATCCCACATGCATACACACACACTCTCGTACTCATACACTCGCCTATCAGCTATGGCGGCTATGGCTGCTGTCCCTCTCCTAGCTATGTCTAACTATCTCCTTCAGCCCACTGTAATGAACCCAGTCTGGCCTGTACTCAGAAGTCGTCAAACATCAATAATCTCATTATGTGAATCAAAGTCTCCGGATCATGAAGTGATAATCCAAACAGTATCTCATTATCGTCAAAAAAAAAGAGTGGAGGGAGAAAAGACAAAGGAGAGGAGAAGAGAATACACAGAACCCTGCAAATCCCTCTCCTTCTTCGGGCTTCTCCCACTCTCTTCAACAATAATAATAAGAATAATCTGAGTCACAAACAATAGTGCCACGTGGCACTTTATCTCATGAAGACTTCGAGAACACAACAGATTTCCAATGACGACGTCAACCACAGGTGAGTACCCGACTTTCTTCTTCCACAGATCCCGATCTCCTCCTCCTCACAACCAGTCACCTCATGTAGACAGTGTGGRCAATGCCACATCAGCAGACGAGACAGGTGGCATATGCCACATCATCAATGAAGACCAAGAACAGCGCCACGTAGACAGGAGCAGCGCCAAGTCAGCATGCCACATATACCAGAGGCAGCGCCACATGTACCAGAGGCAGCGCCACATCAGCATGCCACGTAGACCATAGGCAGCGCCACGTATACTAGAGGCAGCGCCACGTCAGCATGCCACGTAGACCATAGGCAGCGCCACATATACCAGAGGCAGCGCCACGTCAGCCTGCCATGTAGACCATAGGCAGTGGCACATATACCAGAGACAGCGCCTTGTCAGCATGCCATGTCAGCAAGCCTGGCGTACAATGCCAGCGTGTTGCCTCCGTCGGGTCGTCATCCGCAGCTCTGATGCACACCCACCGTCTAGCCAGCGTCGCGCTAGAAGAATGCCAGCGTCAAGTCAAAGTCAAGCCAGCGTTGAACCAGCATAGCAAGACTGAATGCTGACCACCTCGAGGCCAGTCTTTACGTAGCATTTGGCGAGGCTCTCTGGCCTCGGGTCTCCTTTCCTCAGTCGTCCAGATTGAGTCACAGCCGAAGGCCTGGATCGTACAGTTGCAGAATTCCCCCTTGGACTTGATGCTGTCTGGGTACCTGCATACAAACAAGTGTGTGTGCTTGACCGGTGGCCTGGACTGGGTCCCTGTGGACTTTGACTGTTGGGGTCGCGACAGTTGACAAAAGTCAATTGTGGCACGCCCAGGCCCTGAATCCCTGTGTGGGGTCCCTTACCTCGTTTTTGGCCTGGCTGAGGGTGGCCAGGTCGGCCCTCAGATTTCTACGAGACATATGGCATGGGTTATTGCACCACTTTGTCTTCGGGCACTCTGCAGACCACCTCGCACAAGTCGCTCAAGCAGCGCTTCTGCATGGCTTACGCAGGAATGAATGAATGGCTGGGCGCTGCCTCTTAATTTATACTTCTGTTCGCCGCTGGCCTGCCCCTTTTCCACCGGGCCCCCGGTGCACAGAGTCCCTCATGGTACTTGCTGACTGGACTCGGTGAGACTGGGACTGGGTACCGCTGACTCAGCAGGGGTGGACTTCACCACTTGCCCACTTGCCTCCAGTCTACTGTGAGCAACGTTGGAAGGGCCACTTCCGGACCTTCTGGAAGTCCGTGGACTTGGCCCTTCGACACTGTAGCAGCTACGACCTTGACCTTTCGGAAGAGCTACGAACTTGACCTTTTGGAAGAGCTACAGCTACGACTTCTAGAACTCACTAAGACCTCTACCCGACAGGTCTACAGATCGAATCCCTACAACCTACGGACCTACGACAGCCTACCAACTGTTGCGAATACACAGGTCACGGGTTCAACTCTCGGGATCGACGCAGGTACAGTACACAGGTAAGGTAAGGACTAGGGATCGAGCCCTGGGATCTGCATTCGCTACTGCTAACAGGTGAATACCGTTTCAGATGTATTGCCTCACTGTTTTTGCCTTCCTGTTGCTTCTCGCCTTTTCTTGTCTGTGTGCTGGGTGTGTGGTTGAGTGTGGTGCTTGACTGTTCAGGATGCCTTTTGGAGTTGTCAGGAATGGGTTGGATGAGAAAGCCCTAGATTGTTTTCAGGATCACAAAGTGGAATGGTTTGCGGTGGATATTTCATGGATGGGAGTACAGTACAACACACACACACACACACACACACACACACAATCATATGTATGTATGTTTTCATTCCCCCTTTTTATTCTAAGTACTTTCTGTTTTTTCAAGTGAGCATGTCTAAGAAGTGCCTAATAGTTGTCCTTCGGGACATCCGTTAAAATTGGAACGATACAGAGAAGATTAGCATGGCCCCTGCGCAAGGATGAAACACATAAATCGAGAAATGGTCCAAATTAAAAAAAAAAAAAAAAAAAAAAAGAAGAAGTGCCTAATAG